ACCTGAAGGGGCCCACAGGGAAGCTAGTAGAGGACTTGTTAAAAAGGGCCTGTAGTGACAGGACAAGGATTAATGGGTTTAAATTGGATATGGGGAGATTTAGATTTAAGGTCTCTTCCAATCCAAACCATTCTATGATGATTCTTTGACTCTGTGTATATGAAATGATAGGTCTTTGCCACCTCAGTTGCCATCAGAACTGTAGCTGACAGTGCCAATCTTCCAGACTGTTGTCACCACCATCTCATAAGTGTATTGCATTAAATGGGCAATGAACTAGGTGCAGAGTGGTTATGTGGAAAGTAACGCAGAATACACAGACTTTAACTGATCCACGTATTTACTCATGACTTGTTATATGCCTGTTTTCCTATGAGTTTCCATCCTGATGTTTACCCTTATGTTGTTAACAATTTTTCTCAATTCTTGTTTCTGTGTAGCAAAGAACTTCATTAAAACTCCCTGTTGAATGTTTATGTGAAGTCCTTAATACCCTGTGCTTTGAAATGTCCTTTGATGCAAAAAGAGATCGTTAAATGTTCTCCTTATTTTTGCAGTCAGATTGTCCAAAACCAGAGTGCTTTGAGACTTTGTCAGCCATGGAGCTTGCAGAACAAATAACTCTTTTAGATCACGTAGTTTTCCGAAGCATACCCTATGAGTAAGTGTTCTCCTATGAGTGACTGAAGTGAGTACGGCAGATGAGTTACTGACTGGCAGTGTTAGGCACTACACTAATTCATGCTGCTGAGAAAAAGGTTTGCATACAAAACAGCATCATGTCCTTTGGCTGTTCGTACTATTGCCTCTGACTCCTATAGTTTGGTCATGTTTTGAAAGACTGAGTTCTTTGCTAAGAAAAATCATCTGTGGTCTGAGGCTCTGGGCTAGTGAAGGGTGCGTGCAGAGTAGAAGTGCTGAGTCTCTTGGGAAGGAGTGTCACATCAGCTTCATTCCTACAGCAGTTTAACATGGATATAACCATGTAAGCTGACCAATACCAAATAAGGTCACAATGCTGAAAGTTAGGATGGGGTTATTGGGGAAGGGGATTAAAAGAAAAGTAAATCTTTATAATATTTACTGCTTCAGACAGCATTGAAAATCACATAGTAAAATGCTGGAATTAGTGTAAAGGTGCATTACTAGCTTTTAACAAAATGAGGTGTATTTGAAATCCACTTAGGCTGCAGTTAACAGAGACTCTACTGTGTGTAGTAAGGGCATTTTTGTTTATTTTTTTCTCTCCCCTCAATGTCTAGAGAGTTTCTTGGGCAGGGTTGGATGAAAGTGGATAAAAATGAGAGAACGCCCTATATTATGAAAACTAGTCAACATTTTAATGATGTAAGTACTTTTAAATATTGATTGCTTTGTAGGAAATCTGTTGACACTGTCTATGACCTCTTTTTTTACAATGTGATGTAACTTCTTAGGTAGTAGTAACTGAATGTTACAGTCTTTTTGTGATTAACCTTTTAAATCAAAGCACATGAAGATTCTTGTTTTCAAGAACTGGTACTCAGCATTTCAGTGGCAGATTGATAGAGTAGAATATTTTAAACTGTACTACAATGCCTTGTTCCTTGCAGAAGAAACCTAAACTTTCTTCAGAGAGTGAAAATGCAAGACCAGTTCTATTTAATGAATGCCCTTTGTGTCTGCAAACATATCTTTGCAGTTTACCATTTTATTTGAATGTTACTGAAAGACTTCCCAGTCAGTTTTATTCCTGTTGACTTGGAGATACTCCATATTGCATCTCTTGTCCTTTTTGCCTATTGTCCTTACTCCTCACTTCACTACAACACTGTTCTTAATACACTTTATTTGGTTTTATTGAGACATGAGTTCTATTGTTCATTAGGTTTTTTTCTGCCTTGTTCATTAAATATTTATAGCTTGAAAGGAATTATATTTAAATGTCCTAAATTTCTTCCTCTTTCTTTGTTCAGATGAGTAACCTTGTTGCCTCCCAGATCATGAATTACGCTGATGTCAGCTCCCGGGCTAACTCAATTGAAAAGTGGGTAGCAGTAGCTGACATCTGTCGATGTATGCACAATTATAATGGTGTATTAGAAATCACATCAGCCTTGAACAGAAGTGCAATCTACAGACTTAAGAAAACTTGGGGTAAAGTATCCAAACAGGTAAGAAAGGTATAATGGCAGAGTATGGTTTACAGATTTCACTGGTCAGTGTGTTCATAAAACAATGTGTTGAGACAGGATTCCTCCCATACTCTGATTATTTTCTGGGAACACCAAGTGCTACTGTTATTTCATGTCAACATATTTTATGTTTAGCCTCACCTTTTTTTGGTATCATTAATTCAGTATCTTTAGAAACAAACTGATTTTGATGTAATTAGCAGGTGCCTAAGACTACTACTTGAGCCTGAAGTACTGAAATATTTGATAAAACTAAACTTAGCTATTTTCAGATATGCACATCTAGGTGGTTACTAGCTATAACCATAGTCAGCTCAAGTCCCTAAAATAGGATCCATATTTCCCTGCCTGTGCAGAAAGTCAATTGAAATATCAGCATTTCCTCTCAAGGTGCTGAGATTTTTTGCAGCCCTGTAAGAGACTGTAGTTAGCCTGTACTCTTTTTCAGTTAGGTGCCTAAGTTTAGATGCAGTGAATATCTCAGTTTAACCGTTACCTTGCTGCTGAGACTGTCAGCAGCATGGCTGAGCCTGTGAGAATGGCTGCCAGTAACAAAAATCAGACATACACACACACACAAAGACTAGCCAGGATGAAGAGTATCCAGTCTTTCATAGGCAGTTGGACTCAATGGTCCTTATGGGTCCCTTCCAACTCGAGATATTCTATGATTCTATGATTTTATGTTCTCTGTTTCAGTGGTTTGGAAAAATTGGTTGAACGATCTAAATCTCTGCTACGTGGAAAAAAAAAAGTAGTATGTTAGTACAGGGGAATATCAGCAAGGAGGTCAGTAGGACAGAGCCAGCCAGTTGTAAGTTAGGTAGTATTTGCATACAGGGTTTACTCTGGCTAATAGGAAGATTTCAGGTTGCCCTTTTTAGATCAGGCTAATTGATGTGCAAAAGGTGGGCTTTTATTACTGCATTTCCTTCTCCTTTTTTGCAAAGCACTCAAGCATCCCGAGCAATGAAATCGACTTAGGATACGTTCTGACTGCACTGCCAGCTTTCTCCAGTCAGCTATTCTCAGATGCTTTATAGCTGGTGCTATGGGGTTTTTTTAATTTAAAAATATGCTAGACATCCTTTCAGAAAAAGTTGTTATATAAGAGTTTACCTCAAAAAGTTTTACATTTAGAATTTGTTTGATTTTTAAACTCTCAACTAAAAAAACCCAAGCCCAATGGATTAATGTTGCCCAGTTCTCTAATACTTCCTGGAAACATAATCTGAATGTTTTATCAGCCTGCTGTTTAGAAGGAAAAGAAAGTGTCTGCTTCTGCCCACATCTTTCTCTTCACTGGAAATTCAAATACTACAAATTCCTTGTGATTCCTTTTACTGTCTCAAGTCTATAGCATAAATAGACTGAAAAGCAAATGTATTTTGCTTGCAAAGTGATTATGCTCTGATGATGCCCACTGAAAGCAATTTGTGTAAGACACTAATAAATTTTCAAATAAATATGCAGCTTTTATCAGAAACTTGGAGGCAAAATCAGATTCATGCAAACAACAAGATGGTAAACATCTTTTACTGTCACTAATTTCAGTCAAAGCAGCTGAGGACCCTCATCAACATGTAAGGTCAAGTCTCTAATATTCTTGTAGATACTGTAAACTGAATTGCTGACCATTAGTTTAATGAACCTGTATTTTTTTCCTGAATTTGCAGGCTAATAATATTAGCATAGATACAGGTTTTGTGTATCACTCACGGGAAAATCTTTTAATGCTGCCTAATCTCCATTTTCAGAAATACACCAGGAACAACAATGAAACTAAATTCCTAATGCCTATGTTATTCCGTTTCAAAATAGGGTGAAGATGCTAAATGAATTACACCTTTTCTAAAATCTAATCTCAGTCATTTATGTGCAACAGCAATTACATTTGTAATGCATTTTCTTTCTAGACAAAAGCTCTCATGGACAAGCTTCAGAAGACTGTATCATCTGAAGGAAGATTTAAAAATCTTAGAGAAACACTCAAAAAGTATGCTTCACTACACCATACAATTGTGTTTTGTTATAAGCAGTGGACAGTACATGTTAAAGATGAATTGGCTTTGATTATGCTTTAATAATTAATATAATATTGGATAATATATTTACCTAATAACCTTTTAAATTCTAGTTTTATTCTGTTTGGCATTATTGTTTTGCTGAATATCCCATGATTTAGTACCCCTATAGATAAATATAATAACTCCAGGGAATTACTGAAACAAATAAAACTATTACTCTGTGTGAATGTTCCCTGTTGGGGTTTTTGCTTACACTGATAAACTTTTTCAATAAGTGTGAAGCCAGGTTTATAAGTAAAAGTTCATATTTAAAAAAACCCCAGGATTCCAGAGAGTCCTTACTCCAGGTAAGAGTTTAGGACTCAGGAATAAGCTTGAGTCAGATCAAAGATCCGTTCACCTCTTTATCTTATTTCTGACAGTTGCCAGTAGCTCATGAGAGGAATGTAGGAACAGGTCAAATGCACAGTGATATCTCTCTCCTGTACCCTCCCTGCCCCATCTAGTCTGCCACCCTGGAAAACAGCTTATTTCTTGTAGAGTAGTCCTTGAATATTTTTTTCTTTAATTGATTTGCCTTATCTGTGTGCATGTAAATTGACTGTATGTAATTTTTGTATCCAAAATATCCTGTGGCAAGGGTTCTACTATTTATGTGTTGACTCCAACTGCATGCTTACAAACCCTGTATTTTTGCAAGTTCTGTAATCAGGAGTAGGTTTTCCTGGATTGAGTGGTACAACTACTTTAAATCATTTTGAGAGAAACAAGAATAATTGCTGAAGATTGTTTCAAAATATACATAGTTCAATTTAGTCAATTTTTACTTTAAAAATATTAATTTAATATAAAAATACGGGGAGCTAACCACTTTTTTAAAATGTTTTTACTCACAATATATGAACACGTACTTTTATATACCTTTCAGTTAATAGATTACTTGCCTGTGTACAGCAATCACCCCTTAGTATAAAAAATGCCCAGAATGAAGTGCACTGCCAGGCACAGTCAGCAGTCTGCCTAAGTTAACAGGCCGTCACCCTGCATTTTTCTTATGCCAGAGCTGCAGAAAACCAAGTTTGCTACTCTTTCTGCTGAGGCAAGAATGGCTGAGTGTGGAGCAGTGATTACTACAACAGGGAAAC